AAAGTGGCAACGGACAAAAAAAAAACACATCATAGTAAAATTAATACCTTCTCAGCTTCGCATCAAAGCTAAAAAAAACGTAGTTTAATAAAAAATTATTTTGTTTGGATGTATTATGTTTAAAACGGCCTCCCTAGGTTATTTTGAAAATTACACTACTTGATGTTTGTCNAAAAATTATTCTTTTTGGATGTATTATGTTTAAAATTACATTACCTGATGTTTGTCTATTACAACAAAAAGGATATTCTCAATTTTTTTTTTTTGGATTTTTTGAAATATTATTTAAAAATAATTTTTACTTTTTTCCTAAACACTTTTTTTTTTTAATTTTAGCTTCGATGCGAAACTGAGAAATTACTATTTTACCATGACGTGTTTTTTTTATCTGCCGCCTACTTTTCTCAGCTTAGACATGACCGATTTTGATGAACTATACGTAAAAAGACCACTAATCGAATCTAATCGTATCCCGTAAAAGGGGAAAGTATTAAAAAAAAAATAATGTGCTATCGTTTTAATATTAACTTCAACCATAAAAACCAATAGAAAAATTAAATGCTTTTGTTAAATTATCTGACTTTTCTAAAAATAATATTAATGTTTTTCGTGTTACAGTCATTAAAATTAAGTTTTTATAATCAAAAAAGTTGTTTTTTTCTTATTGCCAAAATTTCAGAAGTTCTCTAATATTTGTTTAGAAAGGTAAGAAAACTTTACATAATACGAGTAAATTACAAATGGGATTCTCCATGAAAACTTTTAGTAAAATCGAAAAAACGGAAAAATATCATACTTTACACATAGCTTTAATATTGATTAATGTGGATGCTCTTTATATTGTAATATACGTGCAGTATAATTTAAATTTTTTATTTGTTGCTAAGCAAGAATGAGTAAACATAATTGTATACACTATGGTTATAGATTTACGTAATTATTGCATGCAGTTCCAATTTTATTTAGTATACATGTCATAAAGAGTCGGATTGAGATTTTTCAGCCTACCGAGATTTTATGTTTCAGCCCTTAACAAAAAGTCAGCCAATACGACAAAAGCTGTTGTACTCATCACTTTTTTTATTTACATCCTAGTCAAAGAAAAAACATAATTATTCTTTCGTGATCACTTTTTAGTAGATGAATTCATTATATGCGATCTAACCTACCCCTCAAGGAATCGAACATCCATTCATATTCCAACTCAATCTATCTCTTATAGTTATAATAATTCGCTGTACTGTATGTTTCGTAATGCCAATCAACGCCATTAGCACATTTTTACTAGCACCCCTCTGTTGTATCACTAATTGCTGTATTATTATATACTTAATCTTTAATTAATAAAATCGCTTAGTTGTAAACATTATGTAAATTGCCGTTTGGCGCAAATAAATTAAATAAAATAATTTTTTTTTTTGATTGTCAGGAAAGAAATTGGGGATTTTTGTAAAAAAAAACATTATTAAAATTTAGGCAGTTGGCTTTTACTAACTGATTTGCTGTAGTATCAAGGAGGCCCATATAACATAATTTTTGGGGGGCCCACCGGGATTTCGGGAAAATCGCGGTGGGCCAGTCCGCACACAAAATTGCAACACAAAATTATAAAATATCAATTTTATACTATACTTAATTGCTATAATAAATATTTATTCATATCATATACTTATAAATCAAAGAACTACTAATCAGGAATAATGAAAGAAATAGGAATTACATTTTGCTTTTGATATAATCCACCAATTTCTTAAAATTCTATCTATAGATTAACATCGAAGCGTTTTTTATGATAGTGATTTTAATAACTGTCAGATATCATCTATACTGGACCCAACTATGCCAAGACCCCACTGTGCCGCCACCCCACTGTGCCACCTTTTTTTTTTTTTTATGTCTTTTGCCACTTTTTCTCAGCTCTCACTGGACCGATTTCTTTCAAAAATACGTCAAAAGTTCACAAATCGTATCTAGTTGAAGACATTGAAAAAAATTGATAAATTTTCCCTCGTTCCCCGCAAATGGGGGAAATATCAAAAAAAACTATAAATTTAAAAATCGGTAAATTTTGTCATTTTTTTCACTTTTTTTTCTTAAAAGTTCCATAACTTTTTGAAAATTTTTTAAATTTTTTTCCTACTAAAACCTTAGATATTTCCCTTTTGTTTGACATCATTTTTTTGAAAATCTAACACTTAACCTGCTCATGGGGGGGGGATTTAAAATAGTAACTTGTTTACAAAAAATAACTTTTTCAACTTAATTTTGGAAAATGTTCAGGAAATACTGCGTCCTTTAAACGTATATCAAATTAAAGCTTCTTTTATGTTCTATAAAATCAAAAAAAAAAAATTTGTCCCGTCGACCTATCTTCTATGCGCAAATGGCTACCGTATTCAAAAATATGCTATTTTTTATTCAAATTCTTGGTTTTGTATTTTATTTTATTATAAGGGGATTACACTTATTTTCATAAATCAGTAATAAATTATAAATTTATTAAATCAATAAATCAAAATCAATAATAAATTCTTTATTATTTTTATAATTTCTCCGTTTAAATTACAATATTAAATTATTGAATATCAATTTCATACTAAATTTAATAATTATAATTAGTATTTATTCATATATTATATTTTAAAATCAAAGAACTGCTAATCAAGATATAATTAAAGAAATAAGAGTTCATGTTGCTTTTAAAATATTTCACCAATTTCTCTAAAGGAAACACTATCTACAGATTTGCATCGAAACGTTTCTTATGATTGTGATTTTAATCACTCTCAAATATCATCTATACTTGTCGCATCTATGACTTGTCTAAACTGTGCCTCGAACCCACTTTGCTACCGTTTTTATTTTAATTTTTTTTAAATACATTTTTTTTAAATTTATTAATCATAAATATTTTTTATGTTCAAAACTTATACCTTATAATGATTTACTTTTAAATTATTATTATTATATTATTTATAATTATAATTTAAATATTTTTAAATAAAAATTTATTTTTGATATTTATTTATTTTTTAAATGGCAATATAAGTAATTAACTAGCTTATTTCTTAAATAATGACGTAATTAAGAAAATTACTAGTCAATAACAACTATTGGACCAGTATTTTTGAAACTATTAAAACGTTATAGTGAAGGTTCGACATAAGGTGTGGGTGTAGTTATTTTTATCAGTAGCCATTTTTTAGCTGCAATCATCCTCCTACCATGGTGTAGAAATGGCAATAACATCTGAAGTAATATTTCAAAAATTGTTATCTAACAGTCATTTTTGTAATAAGATCATTTAAATAATCTAGTCAGTTATGTATTTTGTTATTTTTAAAAATAAAGTAACATCCTTATAACGTATAAGAAATGAACAATAAATACTTAATCATTGATAAATTGAGAAAAATATGTACCTAAAAGATAACAAAAAATAAAATCCAGAAAATATTTTTATTTTTTGATTAATTAAAGGATTCATGATAAATGAGTTATTAGTATAGGCATTAAAAATTTTAAAAATAAGTTAATTGTTACCACAAATGTGAACAGCGCAATCACTTTATAAATACCCAATATAATAATGTAAAATTCAGTAAATATATCACAAGTCTAACTCATATTTTTCAAACAGACAAAATAAATTATTGTGTATAAGTCATATACTAATTACTCAAGTAATTAAGTAAAAAGAAAAGAATAACAACCAAACCCAACCCAACCCAACCAAACCCAACCAACAAGAAAAATACAAAAAAGTAATAAATAATATTAATTTCATACATTTTTTTTTTTTAGATCAATTAGTCATACAAGGGCAGAACAACCTTACTCCGAAATAAAATGCAAAACCAAATTCGAGAGAAATTTATTTTAAATGATCGAATATTAAAGATTCTAAATTTGCATTGTGAACTTAATCCATTTAATCTGACAGCAATACGCAATTTCAAGTTTTATCATCTCTTTTATGCTCTATTATTATTATTGGAATTTATTGTAATCAATTGCTATGTGTTTATTGGTTTTTACTATGTGAAAAACGATTTTATTTCAGTTACACAATTATTTATATATATAATATCCGGTATTCAAATATATCTAAACAACTATAGACTTTCTAAAAAATATGGTGAATTAAGGAGATTATTAGTTGCAACAAGTAGCTATTTTCTGTCTTCTAATTATAAAGCAAAATATATGTTTAAACACAGCGAATCTAAGTGTACTAAAATAATAAATATAATCTTTTTTATGTATATTTCGGCGTGTTTAGTTTGGTTCCTTAGTCCATTACTTATAAAAGAATTTCCTTTAAAAAGAAGAGACGGCAGTCTGGTTATTTACCATAACAACATCCTAAATTCATTTTTAAGTTTTATACCCATTTCGGTTTATGAGCGAATATATCCAATTGTTTATCTATTGGAAGCTTTCGAATTAGTACATATTTGTTCTGAATTGATTTTCTACTATACAATAGTTATACAATTTTGTTGGATGTTATCAGCTCAACTGAAAATAATTGCGTTTGAATTCGAATCATTTGGATATGAAAATGTTGAATTAGGTACGTGTGAAATGATTATAGTTAATCTTTATTTTATCAATGTTTTTTGATAATACAGAAGGAAAACATAATTTTTTCATTACTAGTAAGATTTTAAATTAATTATTAATTTCCCAAATAGAACAAAAAAACGACTCTTACTACATGAAACATTTGAATCAAATACTTTTGGATCAGACAAAGATAAATGTGTAAGTTGATAAAATTATTTTATATCAAGGTGACTACAATCATTGTAATCTTTTTTATACTTAACACTTATTTTTATGTATTGTTAAAATGATATATTTATTCTTATCATNATATTTTTAAAATGATAAATTTATTCTTATCATCATGTTATGAACAGTATCTGCGTTTTTATACAATGATTAATTGTCAAACGCAATTGTCATATATTTCAACACATTTTAAAATGTTATTCATAACATGATAGATAATCCAATAACTAATTCGATGTTACATTTTTATTTATTATTATTATTTTTATTAGGTCAATAAAGAAGTTTCATGAAATCATGAAACCGATGACGTTGTTTACATATGTATACTGTTTAAATCTTTTAAATGCTCTCACATATGTGTGTATTTTGGTATGTATTTTTAAACTTAGCAATCAAGTGATTTTCATAATTTGATGAAAAATATGTTTGTAGATTTACTTTCAAAATGACTGTGTATTGTCAGTTACTTTTGTGAAAATATTAATAGCAACATCAGTGGTTATTATCAATTTGTTTTTTATAAGCCATTTTTATGGTTATCTTGAAAATCAAGTAAATTATATTTTGACAGTAGTTAGTACATTTTAATTACATTTTGACTAAAATTTTATATAAATACTCTATTTATGACATATTAAAATATTTATAAAAATAAATTTTTATCAAAAATATACGAGAAAAGTATGTTCTTCAAATAAAAGTACGAAATAGTAAAGTGCAAAAAGTATAATAAACAAACATAGTTTAAATGAATTTTAATAATTTTTAATAAAAAATTTTACTCCGTAGCTACATTTTAATGTTTTGTATAATAGTTTACTGTGGATTACTACTAAACTCCTATTTATTTTGTGTTATTTTATAGTTATCTCGAAAATCAAATTAAATTATTTTTTTTCGATTAATATGGTTTTATTACTTTGAAGTTATTTACTTAATATAATTTTTGAATGAGCCACATCAAAAATGTAATTGAATTAATTAGATTTTGATGGTAAGCAGCACGTTTTGATGTAATTTTTACTTAAATATGATTTAAATACTTAATTAATAACGTTATTAAGTGTTCATAAAAAAATTTTTAGAGAGTTCTTTTCAAAAATTTATTAACGAACAAAATAAACTCTTTGTTAAAGTATGCATCAGTAAATGGAGCAAAAATCTATAAAAAAAATAAGCATCATTAAATGATGATTATTTTTTTAAAATTAACAAATTTTGTTCATTTTAACTATGTACCTAGAAGTTATAATTTTAATAAAAAAATTATTTTTAAGTTCATCCATTATGCATTGTTAGGCTATCAACTTTTTTTTTCTTGAAATGAGTACGCATATTTTGATATAATAAAATGTTTGAAGTTTTATTTTAATAATAGATGGCAATTGAATTTTTAATATAAATATTTTCGTTTATTAGAAATAAAAATCGAAAGTATCAAGTTATTGAGTTTATATACATATTTAATAAACTAGGGATTACAAATACAAGTATTGAATTGGTTTCTTATGACGTCGCTATTACATACACGGAGTGTTTAATGACAATTATTGTATTGCCTGTTGGTGTATTTATATACTTACAACAATGTGCCTTACTACCATTGATAATAAATGCTGCGTATCTGTAAATACCAATATCATAAGAAACAAACACAATTTTTTTAAGTAGAAAGTATTGTTATTTATAAGTAAAATTAATTATTATATGAGAATAATATGTGAACATTTATTACTTCATTCATAACTTTTCTCCATAAATTTAATTGACTTCTATTTTAACATTTATACTTTGTACTATTTTATCAGATGAATGGACTACAGTTTGCTATTTATAGTACTAATTGGACCGATAAAAGTATAAAATTAAAAAAAATGATCTTATTGGCTATGATTTTAAATAACACGAACAAATTAAAGATGAATATTACTCCACAAAAATCATTGAATCTAGAAGTATTTGGCTCGGTAAGTCTTTTTTTTTTAGAGAAAGAACTGAAATCGTTATATTTTATCAAATTCAATGTAAAATATATTCATTATAATGCACGTGACTTGATTAAAATAATAATAATAAATATATAATAATAATTATGAATTAATAATTTATTTTAGGCGATGCGTGTGTCCTATTCTATAATTTCACTCTTGGCAAAAGAAACAATTTCGAAATAAGAATTTATTTTGAATCTTTTGTGTTTTATTATATATTAAGTTCACTTTGTGTTAAATTTTACAATGTAATCTTTAAATTAAAACATTAAAAACTTGATTAGTAAATTATTTTCATTTTAATTTTTGGCAGTATTATTAAAAAATACATAAATACCAGAATCTAATATAAGAATACATGAAGTATTCGTATGTGTTGAACAGCTCGGTGAAACTAAGGTAGTTACGTGCTAATTCTTGAACGTGCGTATAGTACGCGTGTTTGTTGTGCCGTACTTCCATACGCAAAAGCTTACTCCTTCGACCTTGATGTTTAAGTACATTACAGTATTGACACATGGATTTAAATATATATTGTTACTAGTACCGCCGTCGATAATGTCATAATACTGTAGTAATACAAAAATAAGCGTATATGAAGTGGGTGTGTTTTGTATGTGTTGACCAAGGTTTGGATATTTGGAAATTTAGTCAATTCGCGACCAACGAAGTTCTATAGGGGTTGTAGAGTTCGAGGGTTTAGAACAATAAAGACAAGTAGATATGAAGAAATAAATTTGGATCCACTTTATTTAATGATAAAAACTAATTATTTAGTAGGTACCTCTAATAGGACACTGAGGGAACGAGGCAGTAATCCGACCCACGATACCCTGTAATGTGTATATGTATAAAGTGCAAACAATTTAGTAAAATTACTAAAGAAAGAATTGATCTATTGCTCTATCGTTCTTCACTCAGATTATTAATTCTAAATAATTGGGATAATATAAATTTACTTACTTCTTTTAGATAGATTGTATAAAAATCGTAGATAGTCAAAATGCTAAGTGTAACACTTTTTCTCAAATTTTGTTAATTCGCATATACGAAAATTCTATAATGTCTCTTTTTATATAAATAAATAAAATCTCGACACAAAATAATTATATATCAATATCGCATTAAAATGTACCGATGACAATACGGGGTCGCGGTTAGTTAAGAGAAATAAATTGGACAAAAGAATTCTGAATTTTATATTGAATTCAGAGTGTCAAAAGTGCCGGTTCGCTCGCTCATAGATGTGCAAGCAGAACTAAACCTTTTTATATTATATTTAATTATCCCCATCATGGGATGTTGTCGTCTGTGCTTTTAGTGATTTTCAGTTTATTGTATTAAATTGAACATAACATGATTATTATTTTAAGATAAGATGCNCATGATTATTATTTTAAGATTAGATGCATAGTATACATTTATCAATTTAACATGTATATACATATAGAATAAATAGTGTACAATAGTATATATGTTATGACAGATAAATGAAGTATTAGTTTGTATACAAGTAATATAAAATACATATTATAAATTTTTCATTGATAAATGTAAGATGCGTAACGCAAAGCATTGGGCATATTATGACAATACAGGGTCCGTTCCAACACTTCCGAGCGGAGCGAGCTCTAGTAGGCGGGTTTCTGTAGTAGGCACTTAGATCTACAAACCAAGACCCCACTCAGTTTGCTACGAGTAGTAGTTCAGTGTGTATCCTTCACGCATTGAAGCTTTGTGAAGAAGTCGCGTAGAGATTTCAATGTTGCTAAAAATGGAGTGAAAATTAGAGCAGTGATATGCAATCAAGTTTTGTATGAAATTGAATCAAACTTTTGCGGATACTTTGCCGATGTTAAAGCCTACGATTTTGAAGTGATGTCTCGGATACAATTTTACATGTGACACAGGGACTTCAAGGTAAGACAGGAGGTACCCCAAGATGAACACCGTTCTGAGATGCCGTCAATGACGAGAACCGACGACAACGTGTCTTGTGTGAAAGATGTGTTAAACAGGCGTTTAAGTCTCTAGTTAATAGCGCAAGAACCAAATGTACCCAATTATACCCAAAATCGCCGTTTTTTGTATCGTAACAAAAGGTTTGAACATGCAAAAGATCTGTTCAAATTGGTTTCAAAAATCATGATGGATGATATATCGCGTAATCCCAAAAAAGAAGTTGGCCGTAAAGGTGATTTATAGTAAACACAAAAATAAAATTAATGCAAAGGCGCACTAGTGATGAAATAATGGTATATATATATACTTATACTGACAAATATGAACGTATTGGTTTACGTAATTACGAAGCGTACAATTACCCTAATTGCACAGCGAAATATCCAACTCGTAAAATGATGAGCAGAGCCAACCAAAAAAAACAAAAACAAATAAACGAATCGAACAACCAATTCAGGTGCACGTTGGAAACTGAACAGAGCGCAATATCCATAATCCATACCGCGCCTAATTGTCCGATTGTGCGCGTAATTTCCCCCGGTTGTTCGACATCATATTCGTCGTCTGATGTGCGTAGCGCAAGGTTCACCGGATGTTCCTCCGGTAAAGACGCTACACCGCGTCGCCGATTGTTAGCCTCGATTTCTTCTTGGGTTTCATCGCGTAGCATGGTAGCTTTCTGAAAGCGCATTCGCGACGTAATTCAGCGCAATTCATTTGTGCTAATGATTTCCCCGACATATTGACCGTGAATATTATGTTTATTTTCAAACCCTAATAATCAAATGTATGCTACGTTAATAGCGAAAATAAACAATATCTCCGTGTACGGTCAAATTTGCTACTACTGTAGAAAAGCAAGTGTTATTATTATTGCTATTGTTGTTATAAAGTACCGCGATAAGATGGTACGGGGCCGCCATATATGATATGGCAGCGAGTGAACAATAATAATAACGGTTACCTGGGAATCGGCCACTTTGACAAGATCAGACGAAAAAAACCCAGCACAGGGGGGTCGCGGCACAGTGGTGACGTGGCATAGTTGGATCAAGTATAATGATATCTGACAGTGATTAAAATCACTATAAAAAAAAACGCTTCGATACAAATCTTTAGATAGTGTTTAATTTTAAAAAATTGGTGGATTATTCCAAAAGCTTCATAAACTGCTAGTTCTTTATTAACATCCTGATTAAGATAAAGTATGTCGAATGAAAAAGGGATTATTAAAAAATAGTATTTCCCATAAAAAGATTATATTGATCAATACACTTTTCAATAAGTTATAGCATTATAAAGTTAAAAATGTAAAA